GGGCAGGAGTGGGGAAGGTGGTGGCTCGGCTGGGCGGTGAAGCTGCCGGGACCTTCCAGGGGCTCCGTCCACCCGCTCCGGGGCGATGCCCGGCCGTGCTCCGGAGCCTCATCCCTGCCCATGGGACAGGATGGAGCATGAGCTGGGGGGGGTCAGGGGGCTGCTGCTGGATCCAGCCCCCCCTGGAGCCGCCCACCACAGCCCAGGAGGCTTCTCCTGGTGACGGCGGGGTCCTGGGGAGAGGCTGAGCTCGGGGACAGACACTGCCGGTGGCATTAGGACAGCGAGGGTTTATCCACCCTGGTGGTGAGTACAGCTCTGGGGGTCCTGGGGGATTTTTTGGGGGGGAGAGAGGCTGCAGAGCTCGGGCTGAGCTGGGCTGGGGAGCTGTGTGCCCTGTGTGTGTCTCAGTGGGGTGTTCAGGGACCCCCCTCTCCCCTTTGCTCCCTCTCTCCTTGTTGCAAATGATGTTTTCCCACAGCTGGAAGCCCCCCAAACCCCCGCCGTGCTGGGGAGGGTGGGATGTCCAAGGGTCAGGCAGGAACAGCCCTTCAGGGGCTCAGTTGTCTCCTCAGGTTGAGCTCAATGTGCCCCTCGGAGAGGGAGCAGGAGCTGGTGGAGGATCCACTGGGAAAGACCCCGTGCCCCCTCCCCGAGGGTCCCTGGGCAGGGTCACCCTTCCTGCCTGGCTGAGGAACTGAGTGCAAATATTAACGAGCTCCCGTGGCTCAGAGTGTTGTGTGGGAACAGCTGCTCCATCCCTGGGCAGGGTCCTTTCCCCACGCATTTTTTCCATGTTTTTTTTCGCTCCCGTCTTCTTTGAAGTGGCCTGTGGGAGGTCCAGAGCTGCCCCTGTGCCCTTCCACCCTCTTTCTGCCAGTCTCCTCTGTGCCCCTGGTCCCTCTGCTCCTCTCCTGACCTCTCTCCCTCTCCCCCTCTCCATCCAGATCCAGCAGCTCCGCTCTTTGTCCGATCACTGCTGGATCCAGAGGGGTGACCCCAATCCTCGCCCAGATTCCTCAAAATCTGCTGGCACCTTGGTTCCCTCCAGCTCGGAGAATTCAGCCCTGGAAGCTGGGGAGGGAAATGTTGGAGAGGGGTGTGGAGGAAGGGAGGGAGGATGAGGACAGGGAGAGGGGGTTTGAGGAGAGGAGCATCCTTCTCCAGCCAGGCAGATATAATGAAGCTGCTTCTGCACTGACAGTAAAAGGGATTGTTGGGGGTTTTAGGAGCTAAAAGAATCACTTAATTGTGGCTTTTTTTAGCTCTGGGGAGATAAAAGACAAAAAAAACACCCTCGAGTCTCCCTCCATTCCCCATCCCACCTCTTTTATGTAAGGCTCCCACAGTGGGGGGGTCTTCCCACTGCATCTCCTCTGCCTTCTCCAGGGGGGCTGGGGGGAGATGGGAGCTCTGGGAGAGGGTTTTCACTGGGACAATCACCACGACAGGACCCGTGGGCACTCCCAGGGTGTAAAACGTGATTCCCTCCGCTCTGGAATGCTGGAATCTCCCGTGGGGGTTCAGTCCCTGGCAGGCAACCAGCAGGTTTGCCCCCTGACCTTGGTGCCCATCGCCCACCCACCCACTCTACCCAGGGAGGGGACCTCCTGCACCCTTGTCCCATGGCCTTGGGTGGCTTTTGTTTGGCTTTGGGTGGCTGCACTCCTTCCCTTCCCCATCCCTGCTTCCCACACTGGTGGGGGCAGCTCCAGGATCCTGGGTTTGGGGGTTTGGGGGGGATGATGATGATGCTTCCTGGGATCCTGTTAACCCTCTGTAAGTGCTGGTTCAGCAGGAAATGGGTCATTTGGGATCCCGTTAACCCCCTGTAAGTGCTGGTTCAGCAGGAAATGGGTCATTTCCCAGCGTGGGGTCTCTGCAGCACAGGGACAACAAGCAGAGGGGGCTGTGTCCCCTCCCCTCCACCCCCTCCCTGCCACCACGGGGGGGGGTTTCAGATCCCACAGGGGGGGTTTTAGATCCCACAGGGAGCATTTGGGCTCTTCTGAAGCTGCAGGAGCCCCTTGTTGAAGGGGGAGAGGGTCTGGGATTGGGTAAAACTGTCCCTGCAGAGACAAAACTGAGGAATGGGGGGGACAAGGCTTTTGTGCCCTGGCTGGGGGTCCAGGGTGGGGTTTGGGATTTATCCTGCACCCACAGAGCCTTCCCCAGCTGGGAGGGGCGTGGAGTGGGACCCTGCATGCCCCTGGGTGGGTGCATCTCCCCCTCCTCTGGGTGGCCCTCGGTGGGGTGACAGCAGGGAACATCCATCCCTGGCACTGCCCATCCCAGGGTGGCACCCCCCAGGCAGGATCAGGAACCCCCCAAAAACACCTCCAGCAAAGCAGGAACCTGGGTGTGGAGTGATTTTAGACTCCACAGGGACGGATGGAGCCTCCTGAAGGTGCCCTGTGCTGGCACATTTGGGATGAGCCTCAGTGGCTGTGAGCGGGTCCCACCTGCTCAGGGGGAGCTGTGGGTGCTGTGGGAGGGGCTGGGGGGCAGCAGAGCTGGTGGCAGGGGCGGGAGGCAGGATTTGAGGGGGCTGAGCTGTCGGTTTAATGCATTATCCCAGAGCAGGAGGAATCATTAGCGAGGCAGAGCAATAAAACCTCCGAGGTGGCTCATTAATGGGCTGCTGGAGGCCAAGGTCGGAGCAGCCACTGCTGTCCCTTCCCTGGGCTCTGGGGGTGCCTGGGTCCTGCTCCCCCAGGCAAAAAATGGCAGAGATTCCCCCCTGGAGCACTTGGAATTGTGTCCCCCCACTGCAGGACCTGCCCTTTCCAGCTTACCCTGGGGTTCATGAGGGTCCTGTGCCTAGAGGGGTGCCCTGAGTGAGGGGGACTGGGGAGAGGGTTTGTGGCTCTACCCTGGTGCCAGCAACAGTTTTGGGGGGCTGCAGCTCCCTGCTCGGGCTGGGGGAGCACATGGTGTGAGCACCAGGCCAGAACGGTCCCTTCCGGGCTAAAAATCCATTAACTTCCAGCCTGCCTGGTTTCTCCTTTTTTTATTGTTGTTGTTGTTGTTGTTGTTTGACTGATGCCATAATTATCTCCAGCAGATGAGCCTAATTACCTGAGGTCAGCGGTGCCTGCAGGGCAGGGCTCACCTGGAACGGGGAAGTTCTCCCTGTCACCTGCTCCTGCAGGTGTCCCACGGGCTGTAGGGACCCCAGGAGTGTGGTGTTATAGGGGCTGTAGGGACACCAAGGCATGGGGGTGTGGTGTTATAGGGGCTGTAGGGATTCCAAGGCATCGGGGTGTGGTGTTATAGGGGCTATAGGGACCCCCAAGGCATTAGGATGTGGTGTTATAGGGGCTGTAGGGACTCCAAGGCATTAGGGTGTGGTGTTATAGGGGCTGTAGGGACCCCAGGGCATTGGGACTGGGGGGTATTTAGGGGTGGGGAGTGGAAGGAAGGGATGGATGGATGGATGGATGGATGGGTGGATGGGTGGATGGGTGGATGGGTGGGTGGATGGATGGATACAGGGCAGGGTGAGACCCCTCTGGCCCAGAGCACAGGAAGGAGCCAGGAGGGCAAAACCAGCTGAGGTTCAGCCCTGGCAGCGTTGGTCACATCCCAACCACATCCCTGCTCTTCCCTGTTCGGATCCATCCTGGGAGCTGGGTGACAGCACCCCAAACCCAGAGCAAACCCCTGGAGACAGGCACCCACCAGCCCTAAAGGGTCTGCAAGGGTGGGGAGCCCAAAAACCAGCTGCTGCACCCCAAAGACCTGCATGCCACGAGCATGAGGTGTGTCCATCCATCACCTCCTGCTCCCTGCAGCTCCCTCACCTGCTGGGCACCCTCGGGGTGCTGGTCCCGGCCGGGTCCATCCCCTCATCCTTTCCTTGGTGTCAGACTTGAGCATCTGCGCTGCCAGAGCTCTTTGTGCTGAAACAACAACAGCCAAACCAAGCAGTCAATTTTCCAGCAATTACCTCCAGCGAGAACATTTCAAGTCCCTCCAAAACCCCGCCTCGCAGGATTAATTAAATCTTCCAATTAATGTCTAATTTAAATGATGATGATGGCTGTTATCATTTCATATTGATTTTTTTGTGGGTTTTTTTTTTTCTTTCTGGTCTTAAAATAGAGCTGTTGTCCCTTCCAGGGCCGCCTTTTCCACACCCCGGGAGCTGTTTGTTCCCTCTGTTTGATTTGCCAACGTTAAACATGTGTCTGGAAAATCAAAAGCCTGGGATTTTCGGGGGGTATCGACGGGCACCTGTGCCAAGGGGGGGCCCAGCCACGTATTTGGGGATGTTTGTGCCGAAAAATCCGTGTCTGGAGCGTGAACTTCCCCTGCGGAATCGGGCTCCTGGCATTATTAAATTTTTCCTGCTGCAAGCCCCAATCCATTACTTTCTCCAGGCTCACACGGCCATAAAACCTCGCTGCTGCTCTGCTCCCAGAATAAACCAGGCATTTATGTTCCCCAGGAGCTGGTTCATTGGTGTAATGGATGTGTAACCTCCTGTAATTGCGAAGGTTATTCCGGAGCTCGCACGCGAGTCCCGGCTCCGGCTCCGGCGGCTCCAGCCGGGTTTGTTCCAGTGGTTGCTGGTGCGGGAGCTCCACAGCACTGGGGTGGCACTGGGAGGTGGGAAACTGGAGTGAGGGATGGCAGGAGTGAGGGGACTGGGAATGGGAGCAGGAGGTGGAGGAGGCTTCGAGCTGACCCCGTGTCTGGATCATATCAAGGCTTGAACTCAGTGGGAATCCGGGATGGAGCATCCCTGGATGCGGCTCAGCCTCATCCTCAGGCACACGGTGGGATTTTTGGGGGTGTTCTGTGCAGGGCCGGGAGTTGGAGCTGATGATCTTCGGCGGCCCCTTCCAACTTGGGATATTCCATGATCCCATGATTCCCACAAACCTCTCCATCCCAGCGCCGCGTTCCGTAGAAAGGTGGGAGCAGCACCCGCCGCATCCAGGGCTGGGACACCCATCACCGTCCTCCTCTGAGCTCTCTCCCCTCTCCCTTTCCAGACAAGGAGCTCCCGGCACTCCCAGGGCTCCCAGCCTGGCTTGGCCGACCAAGCCAAACTCTCCTTCGCCTCGGCCGAATCCCTGGAAACGATGTCGGAAGCGGAGCTGCCCCTGGGGTTCAACAGGATGAACCGGTTCCGGCAGAGCCTGCCCCTGTCCCGGTCCACCAGCCAGACCAAGCTGCGATCTCCAGGTACCCCCAGGCTCTGCCTGGCACCAAACACCCCTCTGTGTGTGCCGGGACAGCGCCCGGTTCCCTCTCCTCACCGCCCTCTGCTCTCCCTCCGCTTCCAGGGGTCCTCTTCCTGCAGTTCGGGGACGAGACGAGGCGCGTGCACATCACCCACGAGATCAGCAGCATGGACACCCTGCACGCCCTCATCGTGCACATGTTCCCCCAGAAGCTCACCATGGGCATGCTGAAATCCCCCAACACCGCCATCCTCATCAAGGACGAGTCCCGGAACGTCTTCTACGAGCTGGAGGATGTCCGGTGAGGAGGAAAGAGGGAGGGAGGGCTCAGGAATCCACCATGGCGTCGATTTTCCTTTCTTTGAGGAAATCAGTGGGATGAGGCGGGAAATGGGGGTGTGGGTGCAGCGCTGGGACTTTTGTGGTGCCTGTCAGGGATGCTCAGGCTCTGCTTCTCCCTCCAGCGACATCCAGGACAGAAGCATCATTAAAATCTACCGGAAAGAGCCGCTCTACGCCTCGTTCCCAGCCTCCCACATCACCAACGGTGACCTGAGGGTAAGGGGGGGACACAGGGTGTCACAGGGAGAGCCTGGGAAGGGGGGTGCACCCAGTGCAGTGGGGCCAGGAAAGAGAGAAAGCAACAGAGGCTGGTAATTCCATGTGTTTGTGGCAGGAGGGATGACTGGGATTCATCTTGCCTGGGTCCAGAGTTAAATTTTAAGTGTTGCTTTAAGAGAGTGGATGTTTGGGGTAATAAACACGGTATTCAGGGGATTCATCAGGGTAAATCATCCTGCAGCCTTATTTAGGGAATTCATCAGGATAGATCATCCTGCGGCCGGGTGGGAAGGAGGGAGCTGTGGGTGCTTGGAGGGGTGGAGGGTCCCAGAGGGGCGGAGCAGGGGAGGGGGTGAACCCACAGCAGGACAGGGCGCTGACCCCCCTCCCCTCCCCGCAGAGGGAGATGGTGTACACCTCCAGGGAATCCTCTCCCACCCGCCGGCTCAACAACATGTCCCCGGCCTCCCACCTGGCCTCGGGGTCTCCCCCGCCCGTGCTGCAGTCCTCGTCCCCGTCCCGCTCCCGCATGTCCTACAGCGGGGGCCGCCCGCCCTCCTACGCCGGCAGCCCCGTGCACCACGGCGAGCGCCTGGCCAGCCTCCCGCCCGCCCCCGGCGTGTCCCCCAGCCCCAGCGCCATCCTGGAGCGCCGCGACGTCAAACCCGACGAGGACCTGGCCGGGAAGAACGTGGTGCTGGTGAAGAACGAGGGGCTCTACGCCGACCCCTACGGGATGGTGCACGAGGGCCGGCTCAGCATCACCTCCACGCAGTCGCTGGCGGGCATGGGGGACCCTTTTGGCTACCCGGGGGGGCTGTACAAGCGGGGCTCCGTGCGCTCCCTCAGCACCTACTCGGCGGCGGCGCTGCAGTCGGAGCTGGAGGACGGGCTCTACAAGCCCAACGCGCCCATCTACGGCGACACGTACGGCCCCGGGCTGGGCTTCCGCGTGCCCCCCTCGTCCCCGCAGAAGATGGTGGACGTGCAGCCCGGGCAGAGCCCCCACAGCCCCTACTCGGGGCCCCCCAGCCGCTCCTCGCCCGTCCGCCAGTCCTTCCGCAAGGACTCCTGCTCCTCGGTGTTCATGGACAGCCCCGTGGGCAAGGCGCGCAACCCCAGCTCCTCCGGCCCCCCCGAGCTCTTCCCTGGCCCCGGCGAGCGCCCGCTCTCGGGGTTTGGCTCCCCAGGACCCGCCAAGGACACGGAGACGAGGTGAGATGGGGCGTGGGAGGAGCCCCCCGGGGATGTGAGCTTTGCTGCTCTGGGGCGGCTGGGGAGGGAGAGGAGGAGTCGAGGGAAGCTTTGGATCATCCCCGCTGTGGTGCCAGGATGGGGAATGAGGCACTGAGTGAGGTGCTGGAGAGAGAGGGAATGGAGGGGGTGGATGTCCCTCCTGGGGGCTGCAAGGAACAACTGGATGTGAGTGAGGCCGGGACGAACCTCGGGGTGCCCTCGGCTCCGGATCCAGCTCCTCACCCGTCCCCTCTCCCTTTCCCGGCGCAGGGAGCGGATGGAGGCCATGGAGAAGCAGATTGCCAGCCTGACAGGGCTGGTGCAGAGCGCTCTGCTCCGCGGCTCCGAGGCTGAGACCCCCAGGTGAGGAGCGGGAGGGCACCCGTGGGTCCCCCGGGGCGGGGAGAGACCTCCAGCTGAGCTGTTTGCTGCCAACACCGGGGGTCCCGTCCCCCTCTCAGGGGACACCAACCCCTGCTGTGCCCCTGCCTCCATCCAGGGAGGATGGAGGTGCCTCCACACTCACTCCCCTTCTCTCTCTTGGTGCAGCGAGAAGACAGAAGCCACCAACGGTGGGACCCCCCCGTCAGCGTGTAAGTGGCTGGAGATGAGCCCCTCGCCCTGCAACACCCCCTCCTCTGCCCAGGGGTGCTGGGTGTCCCTGGGAGGGAGCAGGAGCGGGGGTCTGCACCCCCCCCATGTCCTGGCAACCAGCAGGACCCCCCCATCCCACTCTTAGGGCAAGCAAGGGGGGGTAGTTTTGGAGACCACCAGCACTGAAGGACTGGGTGGGGAAATAAGAGAAACGGGGGCTGAAACCTGTCCTGGGGTGGGACATCACCCTTCAACTGCCTCTGCTTGTCCCCCCCCTGTCCCCCCACAGCCACCAGCCGCAGCGGGGGCACCCCGGTGCCCGCGCCTCCGCCGCCCTCGGCCAGCAGCACCCCGGCGGGGCAGCCCACGGCCATCACCCGCCTGCACATGCAGCTGCACCTCCACGACCTGCAGCAGAACGCCAGCGACCTGCGCAACCAGCTGCAGCAGCTCAGGAAGCTGCAGGTGGGTGCCCTGAGGGGGTCGGTTCCCAGCCTGGCCCGGCTCGTCCTGGGGTGAGACAGGAAGATCCCTCTTTTCCCCCTTCCTGCTGCATGGGGAGCTGCCCCCCCTGGGGTTCTCTGGTGTCATGGCACAGAGGTGACACCCCTGTGCCCTCCTCCCATGCTCACGGCGACCTGGGGAAGGTGGCTTAAGGGAGACTTCATCATTCTCTACAACTCCCTGACAGGAGGGGGGAGCCAGGTGGGGGTTGGTCTCTTTTCCCAGGCAACTCTCAGCAAGACAAGAGGGCTCAGGGTCTTCAGCTGTGCCAGGGGAGGTTTAGGTTGGATATTAGAAAGAATTTCTTTCCAGAGAGGGTGATCAGCCATTGGAATGGGCTGCCCAGGGAGGTGGTGGATTTTCCATCCCTGGAGGTTTTTAAGAAGAGACTGGATGTGGCATCAGTGCCATGGGCTGGGAACCACGGCGGGGTTGGATCAAGGGTTGGACTTGATGATCTCGGAGGTCCCTTCTAACCCAGCTGATTCTATGATTCTATGATTCTAAGGTGGCTTTTGGGGAAGGTGGCTTTGCGTGGGGCCGGGGTGAGGTTGGCACAGTTGGGGCACGGTGCTGATGCCTCCAGGGTTGCTGGTTTGCTCCCCGCATGGGCCCTGAACCAGACTCGATCCTCACGGGTCCCTTCCCACTCGGAACATCCCGCAGCATGGGAGATGAGGGGGTCCCTCCCACGCCCATCTGGCCACTTGTGGGGGCCCATCACCCACCAGGGAGGGTCTTGCCCGCCCTGAATCCACTTTGTGCCCCCGCAGCTGCAGAACCAGGAGACGGTGAAGACGCTGCTGCGGCGGACGGAGACGGAGATCAGCGTGCGGGTGACGGACACCATGCGCAAGCACGAGGACCCTCTGCAGCGCCAGCGCAGCCTCGTGGAGGAGGAGCGGCTCCGCTACCTCAACGAGGAGGAGCTCATCACCCAGCAGCTCAAGTGAGCCCGGGCAGGGGGTCCTTGCACCCCCCTCGAGGGGCTGGATCCTCCCTGGCTGGCTCTGCCCGCTGCCAGGGCGTGTCCCTGCCCGAGGAGAGGTCCCCAACCCCGTGGTCCCCTCCCTTCTGCCACCCCCCGGGGTTCTCCGGCGTCGTGGCACAACGGTGACAGCCCCCCTGCCCTCCTTCTGTGCTCGCAGTGACCTGGAGAAGTCTGTGGAGAAGATCCAGAAGGATCTGGCCCACAATCACCGGCTGATCCCTGTGCAGGAGCTGGAGGAGAAGGCGGTGGTGCTCAAGCAGCTGGGGGAGACACTCACAGACCTGAAGGGTGAGGATGGGCTGGGGGCAAGCGGAGCCTTCCCGTGTTTCCCTGCTCCATCCCCACGTGGGGGATGCTCTGGGATGTCCGGTGCCTCTGGGTTTGAGTGTTTGCTCCTGCATTCCTGGAGCGGGTATCCCGGTGCCCGTCAGCACCGGGTGTGCCCTGCTGCCCGTGGATGTGGAGGGACCCTCATGGGCTAAAATTGGTGCCTGTGGGTGGATGGAGCAGGGATGAGGGACCTGGGGAGAGCCCAGGATTCCCAGGATCCACCCCTCCTGCTCCAATCTGGCAGGGTGCCCTTGCCCTTGGTGTGATGGACATGGTGGGTGTGGGGTGGGCACTGGGAGGGTCTCCCTGGCACAAAGGGGCCGTGGCGACCCCCGATGTGTCCCCCCCCAGCCCAGTTCCCCAGCCTGCAGAGCAAGATGCGGGTGGTGCTGCGGGTGGAGGTGGAAGCTGTGAAGTTCCTCAAGGAGGAGCCGAACCGGCTCGATGGGCTCCTCAAACGCTGCAAGACAGTGACAGACACCCTCGCCCAGATCCGCAGGTGAGCCCCGAACCCCAACCCCTTGGACACCTCGGCTGCCCCTGTGTCCCCACGTGTGTCGGTGTCCTCTGCGTTAATCCCAAATCCCAAAGTCAGGGCAGGAGGGGCATCCAAGGGATGTTGGTAAATGGCTCATTTTTCTGCTGAGGAACTCAAAACCGCCCTCAGCCCTCTCCAGGTCTGTGTGGGAACCCCTCTTTTCCTTATCTCTTTGAAAAAAGGAGGGATCATATCTCAGGAAAGAAAGGCAACCCTTGGTGTGATCAGGGTTCACAGGAGCAATTCCCTGAGGAATTGCTGGAGAAAAAAAATATCATCTCCCAGATCTAATGCTCGTGGCAGGCTGGGCCGTGGAGCCCACCTGCCTCTTCCCATTAGGAGACCTTTGGGGATGGCTCAGGGCTCGGCCTCGCGCCGGCGCCGGGATCGCCTCGGGCTCATCACTAGCCTGGTTTTCCGTGGAAATTAGCCCGTGGGATCATGCAGTGTCTGAACTGCCTGGCTGTCATCCTCATCCCTGATAACTCCTGGATCCAAAGGGCAGTTTCAGCCAGATCTGATGGAGAGGAAGGGTTTGGAGAGATCCGGTTTCCTCCCAGGGCAGCCAGGCAGAGGGGCTCATTCTGTGCTCCCCCGAAAGGGGCTGCAGCATCAGCCCCAACCCCTTCCCGACCATCAGAGCAGCAGAGCAGGTTTTTTGTGGCATGGGGAGGGTGCAGTGGCCTCCCAGTGCCGTGCAGCCCCCCCAACACCATCACTCTGCCCCTGGCAGGCAAGTGGACGAGGGCGTGTGGACCTCCCCCAGCAACCTCAGCCAGTCCCCCAAGAAGGTGGCCCCCGAGACAGACTTCAGCAAAGGGCTGGATTTGGAGATGCCCACCAGCCCCCCCGTGAGCCTGGGCATGCCCAGCTTCGGGCACAGCCCCCCCCAGACCCAGAGCCACCCCTCCAAGAGCAATAACCCTGCCCGAGCCCCCGAGATGGTGCCCGCCAAGACACAGACGGGGCCGGAGACCCCCAGCAAGAAGAGCGCGGACAAAGCTGTGTCTGTGGAGGTGAGAGCCTGGGGGAAGGGGGGTTCCTCAGCTCAGGGGGGCTCTTCTAGAGGGTCTGTGTGTGTCTCCCAGCTGAAACTGGGAACAGGAGCTCACTGGGGTGGCCGCTGGGTGGGGGAGCCCTGGGTGATGCGGCGCTGGGAGCAGCCCCGTTGTGCAGCTCAGGATGGGGGGGCAACACTGGCACCCCAGCTCCTCCTGGGCTCGGCAGCGGGTTGGGGGGGTGACAGGAGGGCTTGGGGGGGTCACATCCTGCCTGCGAGGGCAGGAGGAGCCGTGGTGTGGCCGGGACTGGAGCGGGCTCTGCCTGCCCTCCTCAGGCGGCCGAGCGGGACTGGGAGGAGAAACGGGCAGCGCTGACCCAGTACAGTGCCAAGGACATCAACCGCCTCCTGGAGGAGACGCAGGCCGAGCTCATGAAGGCCATCCCCGACCTGGAATTCGCTGCCAAGCACAAACAAGCCCCGGGCAGCGGCAGCGCCGCCTCCACCCCCGAGCACAAACCCTCCAAGCCGCAACACGCCCCCAAATCGGGGGGCAAAGGGGACCCCAACGGCCGCCGGGGCTCAGGTACGGCCTGGGGTCACCTCTGCGCGTGGGGCCGGGCGGGTGTGGTGCCCCAGGGGCCCTGGGCTGCCCCGAGGGGAGGTTTGTGCCCCCAGGGGTGTTGTATGAGAGGGGCAGGGAAAGGTCTCGTGCCCTCACAGCACCGTTTGTGCCCAGACGAGCTGACGGTGCCGCGGTACCGGACCGAGAAACCCTCCAAATCCCCCCCACCTCCCCCTCCACGCCGGAGCTTCCCCTCGTCCCACGGGCTGACCACCACCCGCAGTGGAGAGGTCATTGTCACCAGCAAGAAGGAGCCTGGGTTTATGAAGGTAAGGGACTGTGGGGCGTGGGGTGGCTGCTGGGCAGGACCAACCCCGGCTCCCGGTGCCCCTTCACCCCTCACCACCCCTCTCCCCGCTGGCAGAAGGCCGAGTCGGAGGAGCTGGAGACGCAGAAGCCGCAGGTGAAGCTGAGGAGGACGGTGTCCGAGGTGGTCAGGCCGGCCTCCACCCCCCCCCATCATCGCCTCGGCCATCAAGGACGACGACGACGAGGATCGGATCATCGCCGAGCTGGAGGTGGGACCCCCGGCTCGCCCGCCCTGCCCTGTCTGCTCACACGGGGTGGGGGGGCTGTGCCCAGCTCAGGGGGCACCTCGGGGTGGGCTGTGGGGTGTGACATCCCTCACGTGGGCGCCGCAGCGGGATTCCCGCTCCTCGCCCGTCTCCCACCGGGATTCCCGCTCCTCGCCCGTCTCCCGCCGGGAACACGGTGCCACAGGGACGGACCCCTCGCTGGGTCCGGGTGCTGCCCGCCGGGGTCACCCTCTCCCTTCAGCACTTCCACCCCAGCTCGGGCTTTAAGCAGAGCTCGTTTGGTTTTTAACTCTCCGTGGTTGCAGCTGGAAGTTCGTGGGGTTTTGTGCCTGGGGCGCTGCAGAGGAACCCCCTGAGATACCACCCCGGGCTCTGCACCCCCCGGCTGGCTGTGCCCCACATCCTGCCCGTTTGCTGCCATGGAGGTGCCCGAGAGGGCCATGGATGGCTTTTCCTTGGCGAGTTTTCCCCCAGGAGGCAGGAGAAGTGGTGATGGTGCAGGCAGGGGATGGGTGATGATGCAGGTGGGACGGGTGATGGTGCAGGCAGGGGACAGGTGATGATGCAGGCAGGAGAACTGGTGATGGTGCAGGCAGGGGGACTGTGGTGGTGCAGGCAGGGGATGGATGATGGTGCAGGTGGGACTGGTGATGGTACAGGGGACAGGTATGGTACAGGCAGGGGGATTAATGATCCTGCAGGCAGAGGGACTGGACCAGTGATGCTGCAGGCAGGGGGATGCTGATGCTGCAGGCAGGGGGATGGTGATGCTGCAGGCAGGGGGATGCTGGTGCTGCAGGCAGGATGGGTGATCCTGCAGGCCTGGGGAGCAGTGACCCTGCCAGCAGCAGAGGGGACGAGGCTGCCTCTGCATCTGATAACAGCCAAAGCTTCTTTCGCTCGCTGCCAAGCCCCAGTCGTGGTGTGACTGTCCCTGCAGGCACGGGCTGCGCCCTCCTCACCCCAAGCCTCCCTCCTCCAACCCCCGTGTTTGACTCCCCAGGTGTTTCAGAGAAGCTCTGCCTCCCCTTTCCTCCCCAAGCTCCACCACGAGCCGCTCGTGGCCGTCTGCCCCGGGCTGGCAGAGCTGTGGCCCAACGGAGCCTCCGTTGCAGCCCAAGGATGGAAGGTAACGGCTCCCTGCGAGCGACCACGGGGCTGCACCTTCACCACCTGCTCTCCTGCCTCTCTTTTTAACTCACTTCTGCTTCTTCCTCTGGTTTAACAAACTAATGGCTTCTCTCCACCCCCTGCGTGGCCGGCACTGACACGGCTCAGGACCCAGCACTGACCCACCCGACGGCCTCGTGGCTCCTGTGAGGGCCAGGTCGGGGTTGGGAGGAAGGAAGGGGCCACCCCAGCACCACCCCGGGCATGGCACAGGGAGGGCTGGCTGCTCTCACCCTGCACTGGGTGCCCAGGGGGTGTCACTGGTGGGCGATGCATGGGACAGACCCCCCCGGCTGTGCATGATGAGGGCGGAAGGTGAAGGGCTGGGCTCTGCCTGGGCCTGGCCATGCCTCCCTCCCAACCTTCCTGCCCTCTGTCCTGGGCTCCAGGGTGGGGAAAGCAGGAGGAAAGTGCCTGGAGGGTGGATGGGGTGGAGTAGGGGGTGCCCAGAGCGGGGGAACAAGGGGGCAAAGGGCAGGACAGAGGGTCCTGCTGATGCCAGAAGGCACCGAGCGAGGGGAGCTCTGCCTCACCTGCTGCTGG